TTGGGTATGTAGCACAGTAGCAGATATGGACTAAATGGAGAAGACAAATGATTTTCATGATATACTTGATATCTTAATTTAGTCTAACATTTTTAATTTATTTATATGAAAACTAGTGTTATACCTTGGGTGCAGTTGTTTTCTGCTGCTTTTGATGGACTCCCTCATGAAAAGTTTGGTGATTAGACAATCTTGTCCTTGGCTCTTCATTAGGTGCAACAAGATTAAATTTTATAGGCGGTGAATCTTCCTGCCCCTTTCAAATTAGGAGGTGACATAACATCTTTATTAAAAATTTTGAAAGGCCTTTTTTTATTTATAGTTTTGGCTTGTTTGCAGTAGTCTTTTAGTTTTCATTGTATTTTTTTCGATTCTGATGTGTTATAATTTGGTACTTTCAGCCGCTCCATGCTAGTGTTTGTTCCATATAGTCTTTGCTGTTCAAATTAAATGGAATATAAATGGGTTGGTTTTATATATAATAAACAAACATATGGCATCATTAACCTTTTTTTTCCCCGGGCATGAAAACCCTTAGGACCGGCCCTGATAATATGTTTGGATGCTGCTACATTTTAATACTGTCTGGATTATATTATATTTGTTATTTGTGATAATAGCAGCTGGTTTTGTTTGTGATGGGATTAGTGTAAATTTTTGTCTGTTTTGTTGTTTTGTGGATGATAGCTAGGTACCTAAAGCATTGTTTAAAGGTGGATCAGTAGTCTACATGTCATTGCATGTCATTGCATTCTCACTGTTACCTATCAAAGTACTGAGGTAAATATTATGATTTTTTATATTAATTTTCTTACTTTCTAAAATTATTAGTGTTTTTTTTCTGAGTTATGATTGAAAAGCAGTGAACTAGGGTAAATTTTATGAATTATGATATTAGTTTCTGAAAATATATAATTAGGGCATCATTATGTCTTATTGCCCCGGGCAACATATTTCTTTGGACCGGCCCTGGGTCCTTGCATTGCAATTGCCTATTTATCGGTTCTAAAGGACTGTGAGATTCATTGCTTTCATGAAGGATTGGAAGTCAAACGACTTGGTGGTCTCCATGTCATCGGGACATCTTTGCATGAGTCCCGAAGAATTGATAATCAGGTAACTTTGCATCTGTATTGTGTTTTAAGGTTTTACATAAATTTAGCATATACTTTCAGACTCACTTTTTTAATTTATTTCTTGCTTTACAAAGCTTCGTGGCAGAGCAGGAAGGCAAGGAGATCCTGGATCAACACGCTTCATGGTCAGGTAAGTTCACTTAAATGATTTTTATAAAGTTTAAAGTCAATCCTTTCATCTGGACAAAATTCTTCATGTTAAATTACGTAATAGTCCTTGGAGTAGTTGACATGAACAATTTTTTTTTGTTAGAATGATTCCATATATATGTGCAAGCAAGCACATGCCTTGTGAAAAAGGGAAATCTATTCTAGTCATTCTCTTTAACAAGGCAACCTTAAAGTTGATTTTTTAAACCTGATGTTTAAAACTACATTGAGTGTGATATAGAAGTTTATGCAGAGAAGGAAAAAGATAGAAGTTTTTGAGGATGTTGCTGATGAAAAAGATAGAGGTTCTTTAGGATGCTGCTAATGAAGTTTATGCAGAGAAGGAAAAAGATAGAAGTTTGTTGGCACATAGTAAGCTAGATAATTAATGCAATTGTATATAAATGAGTTCATTTTTTTTATAACATTTACTCACTATTGGAATAATTATTTGTATTTGACATATTAGTGAAATGAATTATATTTGTTATTTATGGTATTTTATTTATTATTATGAGATTTCTAATGTATTATTTAATATGAAAAATTAGTAAATCTATAAATAATATTTTTTTAAAACATTTAAAATTATGATACGCAAAAATGTGTGTCATCTTTATTTATGACATGGCCTTTCTTGACAGGGGCTTCCTTGATACGCATTGCGTGTCATAAACACGCGCGTCGTAAGGTTACGACACGCAAATGCGTGTCGTCTTCCTTTATGACAGGGCCTTCCTTGATACGCATTGCGTGTCATAACTGTGCGTCGTAAATGTGCGTCATAAATGCGCGTCGTAAATGCGCAAAAGCGCGTCATCTCTCTTTATGACAGGGCCTTCCTTGACACGCATTTGCGCGTCGTCTGAGCGTTTTACGACGCGCAATGAGCGTCGTAAAAGGCCTTTTTTCTAGTAGTGTTTTTTAGCTCTTGGGTTCCATATCTAGATTCTTGAGCGTTAGAAGGGATGAAAAAGGACTGGATGAGTCAAGCTGGGAGAACTCGACGAGTTGGCTCGAGTTTTCCCACTTTTCTGGATACTATAGGAACTCGACGAGTTCTACTGATAACTCGGTGAGTTGGCTTGAGTTTTCCCCGTTTCTCTAAGTACTAAAGGAACTTGGTGAGTTGGTAGGTGCACTCGACGAGTTGAGTCAGCATGTACTGTTGACCTTTACTGTTAACTTTGACTTTGACCAAGTTTGACTTTTAAGGGCATTTTGGGTATTTTGAGGTTTTGATGGGTTGGTCATAATGGTTGTAGGCTTTGAGTCGGGAGCTGAGATTTTGAGTTAGATCTTGTCACTTCAGCTGCTTGTCAGGTGATTCTTCCTCACTATACTTTTGGGTCGAAGGCACCAAGGCCAGCCCATTGGTTTGATAACTTGATATTTCTGATATGTTGAGTATGTTATAGTTATGCATACTAGTCTTGCTATGCTAGTCTGGTAGATCTGTAGGACTACCTGTGAATTGCCTGTTTATCTGTTTACGATATTATCAGTTATATGTCGACATATTGTGTGGGTTGGGTTGAGGTTGTACGGCTTTGTGCTATAGACACTCAGTTTGCTGGACTCATATATGAGCTGAGGACGAAGGATGGCATGTTAGACTCATATTGAGGAATCACACGCATTCCAGATACGAGCTGAGGGTCGGGCCAGGCATGCCAGAATCGTACTGAGGGCTTAGCGGTATTCAGTCTATTGACTGATCAGGACAGGGAGTAAGCTAGACATAAGTTGTGGGCCTGTGCGGCAATCCAGACTTATGTTTGATGGGTTTTGAGCATTCTAACACTTCCTAAGTGTACATGCAACCCTAATAACCTTGGATCTATGTTTGTCTAATTATCATGCAAAGTTGAATTCCAAGGTTATATTCCTATCTAGCATACATGGGGAACAATTTTAACTTAAAGTATAGATAGAATAACTTACCTTGTTGTTGTTTGTGTTCCTTGAAACCTTGTGAGCCTAGCACCCCAAGTGTGATGCCTCAAATGCTTCACACAACACCAAATGCTCTTGGAAGAACTTATGAGAGAACACACACTTCTCAAAAATCGGCCAAGCCCTCTTGTTTCTTAGTGTAGCCGATTTTAGGTGGAGAACATGTTTCTTATATAGTGTTGACACATCTAGGGTTAAACCCTAATGTGTCATGACTCTTCATTTCCATGACCCATGGGTTTGTAACTCCCATGGAGCATCCTATGGGTGGAACCCAACTTGATAATCCATGGAGCCTCTTAGCCCACTATACAAGATATGGATGATTTACATAATCAACCCATATATTTAATTAGTTATCTTTTGATCACATAATTAATTCTAAATTAATTCTTGATCAAACTAATCAAATAATATTATTAATATATTAGAACTTATAATATATTAATAATCTCCAAGTGTTATTTCTCTCATTTAGTCTATCCAATTGCATGGTGCCATGCAACCCAAATGGACCATGCCGGGTCGGGTCAAGTACATACCAGAAATAGTTATGGACTTAGACACCTTATCCAACAGTCTCCCACTTGGATAAGTCTAATAACTATTACTGCAAGTATGACTTCAGGAACCGATCGGCAATCGTAGCTCTTTACAAGGTTTCTCGGAACTGAGAAGATGATGGTACGCCATTTAAGATAAGTGATCATATAATCCTCTGTTCTAGATATCAGTCGGACAAATACACGGAACAATGTCTTACTTATTGTCCAACAGTTTGTTTCCCGATTTCCGATTTGTTTGACAAAGAACTTCATTGAACACATCAATTTAGTTCTGACCGGGCCCGGTACATAGGTCAAAACAAAATCATCGAGGGGCCCAGATATCAGCTTCTAATCCAAGAAGGAACAGATAAACTTCGACTCATATGTTTGTTCTACCACTCATTGAATTACACACAAGAGCACGTTTATAACATCGAGTTACCAATGCGTTTTCGTACAATCAATGCATAACCAACTTGTAAGTAACAAATCATATCTCTAGGTTTGAAGACTTATATGATATTACCGTCTCACGATCACTCGAGATAGAATTCCATGAAGTGATTCCAGTGAGCGTGGGTTGAGTCCAATGCTCAGAACTTATGAGCACTCATGATTGCTGTAGCCTTGTCCAAGACCTCTACAACCAAACATGACAGTCTTGATTCATACCTACTTCCGACATATGACCGACTGTGGAGGTTTGAATAATATGTTATACCAAACAAAATTATTCTGGAAGTCAAAACATGCAAAAGAAATATAGTAAACGATCGACAAGAGATAGCAACACTTTACTCATAAATAAAACACTTTTATTCATCATCAGATGTCAATTACACTTTACAAATTTCGAGGTTATCTAACTACTAAATCTAATATCATCCTTCAGCCCTATGCTCCGAGCATGCTGGAGATGCTTAACCCGAGTCAGTCCCTTCGTGAGGGGATCTGCCGGATTCTCATCTGATGATACCCTCTTTGCCACGAGGAGTCCTTCTTCGATCCGATGTCTGATGAAATGGTATTTTCTGTCGATGTGTCTGGATCTCCCGTGATCCCTTGGTTCCTTGGCTAAGGCAACACACTTTCACTATCACAGAAAATTTCCATTGGCTCTTTAATAGCTGGTACAACTCCAAGGTCTCCAATGAAGTTCCTCAGCCATAACGCCTCCTTTGCCGCCTCGCTAGCTGCAATATACTCTGATTCACAAGTAGAATCTGCCACTGTCTCTTGCTTGGAACTCTTCCAAGAAATTGCTCCTCCATTTAGGGTAAAGACCCAGCCCGACTGAGAGCGGAAATTATCCCTATCAGTCTGGAAGCTAGCATCACTATACCCTACAACTCTCAAGTCATCACTCCCACCGAGGGTAAGGACCCAGTCCTTAGTCCTTCGTAGGTACTTGAGAATATTCTTTACCGCAGTCCAGTGTGCCTTGCCAGGGTTCCCCTGAAACCTGCTAACCATGCTCAGGGCAAAAGCTACATCAGGTCGAGTACACGTCATAGCATACATGATCGATCCTACAGCCGAAGCATAAGGTACGACTCATTTGTGCTATCTCAGCCTCAGTGCTAGGGCTTTGTGTCTTACTCAGTTTGGCGTTACTCTGGATGGGCAACTCTCCTTTCTTGGAGTCTGCATGCTGAATCTCTTCAGCACCTTATCCAAGTAGGTACTTTGACTAAGTCCAATTAGTCTTTTACTCCGATCTCTCAAGATCCTTATCCCTAAAATATAGGCAGCTTCACCAAGGTCCTTCATAGCGAAACACTTTCCAAGCCAGGACTTTACTTCCTGCAGGGTTGGAATGTCGTTTCCTATGAGTAGTATGTCATCCACATACAATACCAAAAGCTAACTATACTCCCACTAGCCTTGACATACACACAAGATTCATCTTCACTCCTAGAAAAGCCAAATTCCTTGACCTTTTCATCAAAGCAAAGATTCCATCTGCGAGGTGCTTGCTTTAACCCATAAATGGATTTCTCAAGCTTACACACTCTATTGGGTACTCGTTGCTGACAAAACCCTCTGGCTGACTCATGTAAACATCTTCAGCCAACTTTCCATTAAGGAAAGCGGTTTTGACATCCATTTGCCAAATTTCATAGTCATGAAATGCGGCTATGGCTAACAGAACCCGAATAGACTTAATCTTGGCTACCGGAGAAAAGGTCTCATCATAATCCACTCCAGGAATTTGAGAGAAGCCCTTTGCAACCAGTCTAGCCTTATAAGTGTGTACTTTACCATCCATGTCGGTCTTCTTCTTGAAGACCCATTTGCACCCTACAGTCTTTCGACCTGGTACATTCTCAACCAAGTTCCAAACTTGATTGTCATACATGGATTGTATCTCGCTATCCATAGCCTCTTTCCATTTAGCAGACTCGGGGCCTGCCATGGCTTCCTCGTAGCTGTTAGGGTCATCTTGACTTACTAGTGTCCATCACTAATAAGTGTCTCACCTTCTGCAGT